CCTTTAGATCTGTACCGAATTATATATATTATTTAATTATGTGAACATCGTAAAAATACTTTATAAGCACTTTTCTTAGTGTTGTGAGTTCATACTTAAATTCAGTTCTGGATTAAATAACAAGTGCACAGTAATTCATATATTATGATTTAAGTACATTTTCATGATTTCAACACTCTATTTCATAGTTTGTGTATTTTGTGATTAATCGTAGCTCACCGTTGAAGTAACTTAATGAACTTAATTAATATTACGCGACATACAGCGACCTCCACTGAAGATACCCAGCATCATAAGTATACATTTTATCCACGGAGGCTATTGGTATCGACTAAAGGTAATTTTTCATTGCATTATTGCATTGGAATGGTACAATATTGGATCGTGTTTCATCCATAATTAAAATATATAAAGATCATTTAAATATATTATTCCCATTTGATTACTTTGCATCTATACATTATCTATGAAGTTTCGCTTGATATTTAACCGTTTATATTTGGAAATAAACAAATTTTTGAATTTTTTTTGCCGAATGCTAGCCAAGCACCTACGGGATACCATTCTAATAACCAATAAGATGCTGTTAGGAACAGATTGAATGCTGACCGTACGAACCAACCAATGTAGGGGACACCTATAATAAATAAAATAGATAACACTCTAAAAGTTACACAATTATGTGTACTTATCATCTTGCATTTGTATCATGTACAAATCGTGAGCAAATAAGGTCACTTACTACACATATACAGTATCCATTCACGTCCTTTCATGTTTAAATATGAGTACCACCCAAGGGGTCTTTTATCTACGTAAATAATTGTTATTACTTTTAAATTAATAAAAATAAAATAATAAAGAATTTGTTCTTTAACTAACATTTCGCTCCCGTTATATTGTATGTGAGATACAAGAAAGCATCTACATTAATCGATGGATCAGCGAACCACAATGCTTTCACTGCATTTGATGCCAATTCTCCGAATTCCGGAGGTGGATTTTCCAAATGTTTAGCCAATATTTCGGAACTAATTTTTCTGCACAGTTCCGTCGTTTCTTCAACCGTCTTCCTGCAGATATTCAGCCTAAAAGAGATACGATATTGATATTGCTATCCAACCAACGTTGTACCAAAATTAATAAGAGATTAATGTTATTACCGATCCTTTATACCCAACAAGTGTCCCTTAACACGCCAAAAATGATTGAAACCCTCTAGCTCTTCAGTCGTGGTATGAGCCAACCCTATAAGCTCGGGACACGTGACAACATACCCTACGAAACCAAATTGTGTGATCGCCATGTCTTTTTGATATATTCCATGAAGACCTTCTCGAATACGCTTCTTACTGACGGTCGCATGTTTCCATCGAATCACGTTTATTGCCTTGAACCATCTTACAACAAATACAATTCGTACAGCCAGAATCAGCAACAAGTTTTACAGGATATTTTAATACAACTTACTTTGAATTGGGGTCAAGCATGTCAGAGTTAAAGAGCGAGTATGTGAGCAACAAGGTTTGAATGAATCGTCTGTAGGATAAGCATAATGTGCTATTATTCTTCGTGTATACGAGAATCTGGAAAATGAAATACTGTTTATCTTGTATGCCCTCCCATCGTGAAAATTATTATGGCTAAACTTCGTTTCGGGGCATATTTCTATTTCTTTGGTATAATCAGATAATAGTCCGTGTACAAGGACGAAATACGAAGTTCTGATCCTCGGAATTTATTAATTTACAAGTTGAACTTCGCTAATTTTAATACTGCATGGTCAATTCGTTACTGGATAATCTATTAAATGTATATTAAAAATAGATTATCAAAAATCAATGCGTGTCGAACTGAGGCTGGTATATATCATTTGCATTTATTTGAACAGTTAAACGCAACTTCAGTCTCTGTAATGTCGATGTCACAAAATTACGAAGTACTTCGGAGATACCTAAAGAACGTATCAAGTCGAACATCGGGGACGCAGCTGTTGCGTCATGTAATTTTGGTAGCCATATAGGTCAATGTCGCGTCATTTCCACAAGCAAACAAAATACTGGTCTTTCGAAATTTTACTGGTATCGAATGCGTTAATAAATGACTGATGTATATAACAATATTGTAAAAGAAAAATGTGCCTCAAAACGAAGTTGAACGCTGTTAATAATACCTCCAGTAAACTCGGAACGGACAGTATCGCGATTAGGCCTGCTAAGTTTGCAGTTCCAAGTGCCAATAAATTATTCATATAATATGTCTGGCCTCTAGAATTCAATTCTCAATTAGTTATTTGCACTTTTTCGTGATACATATAGATTAATTTTATTACTTACCTGGTCTTCTTTTCTACTCACATTTTGAATAATCTTTCGTCAAACCATTCGGGTAGGTCGGCCGTCGTCACTTTTGCGAACTCAGAGTCGATGACATCCCTATCCTCCTGGATCGCTTGGAGATGTTCCTCCACCGTTCGTGGTTGAACTGGCAATATAAAAGCATTCTGAGTATACATATTTGCACAAAGTCAAAGGACAACATTTAATTTAGTTTACGTTAAATTACTAAATGCAAACGCTTAAGTTTAAAATCTTCATATGAATTCAAAGCACAATTGTTTAAAAAATGCTTGCATCGCATTAACTAGGAGTGATAAAAAATAACTTGCTTATTCACGCTCCATTATATAATATGTTCTAAGAAGTCCTAATGATACCTCCGATGATACGTCATGTCTTACATAAACGAGATAAAAAGTGATGTATAAAATTTGAAATGAATTTGAAATGAAAAATAGGCAAAAGGTATACAAGTTTCTATCATTTAACGTAAGTTAATATATATTTACAAAACATATTTTTATATAGTTAAGATAAACTGTACACAATACTAAATAATTGAACGGTACAATTTAATGTTTGTTTAAATTTTCTACTAGTAAATATAATAGAAATAAAAATTTGGTAACTCACCATCGTCAATGTGTTTTTTAATCACCATCACGGTCTGCTATATAAACTTTTCTTCTTTATAGTGCAAGATCACAATCTCCAGTCACATCAGAACAACAAAAAGTTAAAATTAAAAATTTCACCAAGCGCTCCAATATTTTTTATTGGTTTTGACAACTCATTTGCATTCTATTAAAAAGCGTAGTGAATATCAAACGTCGCACATCATCGCGCCAGGTTTGATAGAACAACCTTCGCTTTTTGCAACGTTGCGCACGGGAGCCGACTGACTTCACCGTCGCTGTCGATCATTTGTTATTGAATCCACTTATCAAGCTACCACTATTTTCCCGCGTTCCACCTACGTAACATTAGTGCGAGAATTGAGTGCAGTTTAGTTTTATATCTACAGTCACTGTACCGCGCGCAATGAATATAGACATAATGTGTCACATACTTATAATTCACCGCTCGTTGAGTTATCCCTACCAAAGGTTAATTATACGCTTAATGTGTTTAACTTTCTTTCACAAATTATCTTCTTATCAAATTGATGAAATGTAAATAAGATTACAACTCTCTTCGAATAAGTTTGACCCAATCACAAATGAAAAGTAAATCCATGAATTCAAAACTGTCAAATGTCTCTCCTTAAATTCGCACGTGTGTTTTTATTCATCACGGATCAGCTTGAGGGTAGAAACCGCTTTTGGGATCCGTCTTATCTCCAAATAAAACACAAATGTAGCTATCGACAAGCCAATGAGTAAAAGCGAAAATCCAGCGCCGAGCGGTGTCAGGCCGAGAACTTGCACACTTCCGTCGTATTTATCATGTTCCACGAGGACCTGTCGAAGATAATAACTGTTCCGCCTCCGAATGACATCGCGCAAATGCCAATTAGTGATGCCAGTCTCTCTTAGCAACAACATTATCTACAAATGAAAGTTCACTTGTATCCGCTTTACGTATCTAACGATAAGCGCAAACAATCTTACTGAAGATAGATTGTACAGATAATGTGTTGCATAAATTTAAATCTTCGTTTACCATGTTTATAGGTTTTAAAAGCCACGGTTGAACAGCGAATGCGTTATGATAGTGTCCTAATGATTGTCTCATCAACCTGTAATTCTTTAATTCATTCGATTATCATTAGACTGCGGATTTTTTTTAAGAAGATATTCATGATATTTGCTGCATCATTAATAG